TTGTTTGAGATCATTTGACAATTTGACAGTTTAATGTGAAAACCCACAAACTCCAGGTAGTTACCCTCTGCCCCTCTGAGACGCGCGAGTGAATTGGCAAAATAAACCAACTAAATGGTGCTCATTAGTAAATAATCAAATCAAAAGGAAACAAAATCAACATCAGTGAAGTTGCGCTGTTGGCTGGAGAACCTACTTATGCAACTTTAGAAGCATGATATCAAATTTGAAACCAAAGAGTAGATAGGGATGAGAATAAAAAACAGAAACATTTTTTACCACACCTTGATAAATTAGCCACACCCATTTTACCAAGTCCTCACCACATGGAAGGCAGTCATATGATGACCATTACAACTGTGCTGTCTACTTCCTGAACTAGAACAATCCAAGAATCAATCTAGATGTCATGCTCACTATAGAAGATGGAAACAAGATTCCAACCAGCGACTGCATTTCACCTTATCTAAGTCTGTTAACAAATGGTTGTGCAGTAATCTGGAGTAACAATAATAGTTTTTCTGGTTGTTAACAAACACAGTTCAAAGCATCAATTTCTAGCGGAAAAGGAAGTAATCTTTCCATGTCAACCCTAGATTGACCATGCTCATTAAAAGATAAATTCAAGACCCATTTTGACAAGTTTTATTAACATAAAGTCTCAACCACAACCACTATAGGTAACCCAAAAGCCAGTGACAAGTTATTTGTATGATCACTAGCTAGGATGTGCAGTAAATCCATTTTGATGAGTGATATTAGCACTTTTACATGTTTGAACACTAGGATGTGGAAAATAATTATTTGTATGATCAAAACAATTACACAGGCGAAAACAAATTTCTATGGGTGATCATTGATCATGTTATAACACTGCATATTTCCATTCATTCATACATGTCAACCAAAATGCACTTTTTGCTATTGATCTGAGGTAGGTTCCTGGCAAAACAAAGTAGCTCCTTATCCAGGATTATGCAAACCCATTATATGGTACTAATTGAAGACTCAAATCAAATAGGCATATATCCGTATATCAACAACTAAATTTTTTGTATGTGAACAACTAAAAATGCTGAAATATTGTAGCAATTTTACTACAAAACAAAGGAAAAAATAGGTCGAACTAAAGGGAAAAATTCACTACTTCAGTTAAATACCTTGTCAACTTTGTTTCCAACAAGCATCTTCAGGCATCATTCCTGGTTTGTTCAGTGCAGATTAATTTCTTTGCCCATTTATAGATAGATTTGAAAATATTTCCCGTTGCATAACATTATATACTGTCTAACTAGCACAATTAAAATACTGAATCAGCATAACAGATTCTAAGCACTATCAGCAAGTCACATAAATTTCCAAAGAAAAACAAATAAAAAAACAAAGATATTAGTAATAACATCAATAGTACTCAAATGTAACCAGCAAAAAGCAGTTACCTTCAGAAATTGTCAATCTGTTATAAGGGCGCACATAGAGACTATCCAAACTAGGTGTCAAATAAGAGGCAGGGCAACAAGGACTGAAAATGAATGGTAAGACTAGAACAAAAATGGAACAAAAAGGGCAAAGAAAGTTCCTTAG